TGACTATGGCTCCTCCTTTATCTGCTGGTTTTATTACTATTTGGTGGTTAGATCTTAGAGATTCTATGGCCTTTTTCTCTGGTAGAGAGAGGTTGTGGTGATGGCATGTGTTGCTGATTATTTCATTGTTCATTCTTTCCCTGAAGCAGTCAACGTAGCGGTCAAGGTTAGGGTTTCGTCCACTGCGAGGTGTCCAATCTGATGTTTTTTTGGGCTTGTTGGCATTGATCCTTTCCTGAATGTTGTCAGAGAATAAGTTGTTGTTGGGAGTGGGTTCAGTTTGGTCGTGGAAATATTCTTTGAGGCGCAGGCATCGGAAGAATTCTTCTAGTTCTCCACGTTGAAGTATTTTATTAGGGTATTTTTCTGGACAGAAATTTAGGCCTTTAGAAAGGACAGATTCTTCAGTTTTGGTAAGCATGTGTGTGGAGAGATTGATAGTATTTGTGGGTTGGTTACTGCTTTATATAGAAGCATTTTCACATGTAAAAAATTAAACTGGGAACTTCCAAGTGATTTCTCCCCTTCAATTATTTTCACTTCAGTAGCTTCCTCTACACTTGATATGTTCTCTTATGGTTTTTATTTTTTTTTCTATTTGGCAAATCACTCTGCTTTCTTTTCATTTCTCAGAGGAATGGATTGGGCACTGCCATGTATTCTAGAAGACTCACTGTTGATGTCATTAGCAAGGAATGAGGTTTGTCAGTAATTCCTGCTCTTATTTCCGGTAGTCTGCTTCTACAGCAGCAAAAACAGTGCAGAATAATGCTTTAAAAACAACTCAGCTACAATTTGATGGATTTAAAAAACTTACAAGAGGTATTTTATCCGCAAGACATGGGCAACCACCATATTTCACTTTCTTCTAAACCAATGTACTTGTTCTTTGAATTACAGCATGCATACACTCCCCCCCCCACTATTTTTACTTTATTTCAGCCACCAAAATTTAATTAAAAACTGAATTTTCAAAGTTCTATTCTTTTTGATTATTTGTACTTCATTCTTATGCTTTGCATTTAATTCAGTTTGGACAATGAACTAGTCTGTTCACGGTCACATTTGTTTATAGGCAATCCCTATTAAAGTTACCAAGGAAAAAAATTGTTTCTTTCCTTCCTCCATTTGGAAAGATGAAGTAGTAAAGAGCGATGTTTAGAATTTCTATGTTAGACAGAGACTGAGCCCCTATCTATATCAGAAGGGTTAGAACATTTCTAAATCAAAATCTAGGATGTTCACTTCAACAACCCACAGGCACAAGTCAAACCCAAGGGCTCCCACGCCCTGACAGGTGTCAGAGATGACAGTTCCTTCAGCTGGCAAACCTCCCATGGTCATCATTTGCGACGTGTCTCTTAGCTCCCTCTCCAGAAATACTAATCTATGGCAACCCCTTCTATGACTACTGAAGACACAACTCTAGACAACTGTGAACCACTGGCTGTGACCGCAACCTCTGTCCTCCCTTCATACCCTTCTCATGACTTCCCTTCATGATAACCTAGACTAGGACAGCAGCCTAGTATGAAGGTATGTTGCCCTCTATTGTGCCATTCTAACCGTGCACATCTCCAAGCTGGTCTCCTGCTGGACCTCAAACCTGTTAGCCAGGTACCTGGCATCAACCTAGAAATTAGCCAGTTGTCTGGGGGCTAACATGGTGCCTGTACAGTTTCATTTCAAAATAAAAATTGAGATGTTTTGTTAATAAGATAATAAACAGGAAATAATCTCTAAAATACACTGCCATATAATGAGCAGTTAGAACTTAACCACGTGAAAAAACATGAGTGGAAGTCAAAATGTTAACAAAATACAAACACAGTGACTAAGAAGAAAGAAATGTCCATACTTGCCTGTTTACGAGACCTCATTGCTGCCTCTTCTAATGTTTCAGCAGCTTCAAATTTGCCTTGACGTCTGTAAAGTGCCCCAAGGTTCTTTAAGGTAGTTGTTACTGTTGGACTATAAAAATACAGACACACACACACACACACACTAAAATTATTGCCAATTCACAAAAACTCAGAAACAAGAAAGCTAAGTGGCTAATACTAGAGTCACCACTACCAAAGAATCTTTAAAAAGTATGATATGCTAGTATTAAATATATGAAAAATCCTGGGTAAAATCTCTTTCGAGTTGCATTTATGGCTCACAAAAGGTAATAAACAAATAGCCCTGGGAACTAAGTACTAACTACATCCTCTGGAGCCAGGGAACACGAGATTGAAGTACTAACTACTTGTGTGCCTCAGACTCACCTCTAGAAGTGAAATGCTAGCTCAGTCTCCATACACAGGCAAACTTTAGCCAGTGATGAAGGAAAAATTCCAGATTTTTTTTTTTGGCTACGTGGACTAAATACTAGTTTAAAACTAACAATTCCTTTCATTAGCCTTTATATGTTATGTATCCGGGCCACATGTGAATTAACCATGTCTACAGGGAAGGCTCAACATCCCATTAACAATTCTTGCAGACATGTAGTCACATAAAGCAACAAAAATATTTTGATTCAACAACATGCCACTCCAGTTAATTATGAATCTTAACCCAATCAATAAGGGTTTTTTGTTCCAGCAATGTTGCTTGAGCATCTCTATTCAGATAAGTTAAGCTATTTAAAGAAGCAAGGAACATTTGAGAGTCACAGAAGAATCTAAGACAGGAAGGAAGGGGCAACAAGATTAGGTTTATGATTGAACAATACTTCAGGTGCATGCAACTAAATAATTCAGTTGTGCATTTTTTTCTTCCCCCAGATTTATAGCTTGTTTGAACAGATAAGTTTAATAAAAACAGCGATAACCCTGCTATGTTTTTAGATTTAAATTACATCATCTGTAATTCCATAATATAAATGCAAAACCAAATACATAAAGTACAAATGTTTTGTGCAGAAAATGTTTGATATTATACCTAATATGTACATAGTAACATAAAACAGATTACAATTTTTAAATTTAATCTAAGAAGAGCGTAACTGAAACACTGCTGTATAGTGCTAGTATAAGAGAACACAAATGTGAAACTAGAAACATGAGACAGTTTCCCTAAGTAGAGACATTCGGGATATTAAATCGAGTTAAAAATGGCCACCCAATTTAAAAATGGCTCATCCTGGTGCCAACCTTACACTTACAGACCTGGTCTCAGTGACTGGCAGTCAATCTAAATCTATAACAGAAAAGAAGTTCCATGCACGCAAACAGATCTAAAAGTTGCAGAACCTGGTTTAAGATAACCTGGATCTATGTAGTATCAGACTCATTTAATTTAGGTCAAACCAGTGCATGGAACTTCTGTACGCTTCCCCTGTGCAGCCCCGAGGCTGGGAAAACCCAGCCACTGGCTGCAGTCAAAGCTGCTCTTTTCACTCCTCCCTTACCCTGCACTGGTTTAATTTTTGCCTCACCCAGCCCCTTGCTCCCCACCCCCTAACCAGCACTCTCAACCCCCATCCCATAACCTGCTCCAGGTGCAGCTGTTTTTAATCAGTATTCACCACTGCTAGAGTCAAGCAGTTAAGTCCCTGTTGGCGGAGTGGTGTGAGGGATGGGGAGATCCATGCATCCCCTCCACAGGTCACACCTGCTCCCCCTATGCCTCACAGGTCATGCCTGCCCCCCAACCTGCTGGATGCACCTGCCCTGCCCCCCCATCCTCCAGCAGACCTCTGATCCCCTACAGCCTGCTGGACCCCCAACCCCTGGTTAGCCTCGCTCCCCCATCCTGACTTACCTGGTACCAGGCAACCATTTTGAATCAGTTTAACCTCCCCCTATTGCCCCCCAATGTCTGCACTTAGCCTCTACACTTAATGAAATGCAAGACAATTAAAGCAGTTAAGATTCTCTGGCCTGCTCTACTCTTATAATTTCTAGGAGGGGATAGCAAATTCACAGATATACTGAAGACTTGCCAAGTGAAAACCACTTGGAAATGCTCCAGATAGGAAACACTTCAGTGAGTGTGTGCACACACCCTTGTATACCATTCCTTGCTGGAATGTTTTAGTGCTTCAACCTCCTGTAGCTGGAGAGTGCTGAAAGCTAGAAGAGAGGATGTCACAGGGACTCCCAAACCCTAGAAACCTCTCCTTTCATAGGAGAGGACTCAGTTCTAGCACTGATGAGGCCCCCAGGTGTCTAGCAGGAAAAGTGGGTTAAGCCTGGCTCTAGCTACATCCCTAGCCCATCCTGCTTCCATGTGCTCCAAGGCATAAATAACTATAAATGAAATGCTCCAAAATAGTAGTGCTTCATGTAAAGAGGTATGAGTTTCAAGTGTTTCAACCACTTATTGAACATTTTCAAGTATTTGTACATGCGCCCAGCTGGCCTTCTGAAACCTTTCAATTATTTTGTGTGTCCATACTCTCAAAGTATTCTGCCCTCTACTCATCACCAGATCCTTTGGGCACTATTACTAGCCAATGCAATTTTGAGCAGGTTAGGGTAAAACCAGCTCATCTTCTCTTGTGTCCACCAACCATGGCTTTGAACCTCTAATGCTATAGTTATAATAATATAATATATAAATTTGGGGAAGGTTTGTAGACTTTTCGACCCTGTATTTCTGGATGGTATAAACTGTCAAGTTAAAATGTTTAAAGAATACACCTACCTATCTACTTTGCAAGCTTTGTACCAGCCACCATACTCTCCAAAAGATGTGCCATCTTTCTGTTTTCCCTAAATGTAAAATGACAGTGTTAAAAAAGAAGAAAAAGAAAAAATAAGGGGTCTGTAAACCCTAACAACAGAAGTTCTGAAAAACAATTATTTAAGATTGGTCTTACTTTGCATTCTTCCCTCTCCTCAGCATGCATCCAGATGGGCTTATTTTCATCTGGTAAAGATATGAAACAAATATTTAAAAACAAAAAAACCCCCTGCCATTCAGTTTGATTTTCAACTTTTTGACGTTGGAGTCAATGAACAATGGTTCTGGCAACATTAATGGTATTCTTGACACAGTGAAGAAAGAATAACTAGATTAACAAAGTACCTCTCTTTCCTTCCCTAACTTCAGAAGAAGAAATTCCACTTTACAATATAGGTTGTAGATAGAAAGTTATTCCTTTGATGTCATCCAGTTGGCATCTGTACATACTGACAAGAGCTTAGTCATTTGATAATTTACATGAACGTACTGCTTTCATCATAATGATGGTTTTGACAACTACTGAAGGCTACATGCTATATAACATCTTATAACAATGTAACATAAATACCACACTAGAATTAGTAGCTTATGAAATGCATTTGAATGCAACAACATCCAAACAGAATGCTGACCTTCTCGTTTTACAGCGGCTTCATATTTCACTGTCTAAGAAAGATGACAAGTCTTTCTGCATTAATTAATGACAGATGAACCCATACACTCATTTTACTATTCTTTTTACTCTGTCATTTAAAATCCTGTGCTGGGCTATTAAGCGTGACTCAATGACAGCAAACTTACTATGTCTCTACTACATTTTAAGCATTACAGTTTGCGGTGGAAAAGCACTATAAACTGTTGAACAATCACCTAAGACTTACTCATTTGGTAAAACGCCCCATTTTGGATTAATTATGTGGAAGTGCATAAAGTCTTTCCTTCTTATGATGGATTTTACAGTATGGATCAATTATACTCTTTAAAACTCCCTCACTCAAACAGTCACAGCTTTAAGCAGAAAATAATTATTCTTACTCAGATATTTTATTTCAAAATTTTAATAAAATGAATAATATATTCAAGTGTTGGAGGATCAAGTTCCTTACCATCTACAGAACCAAATTCGCGTTCATGTGCACGAGTAAGAATCTCCTTGTATAAAGTTTCTGCTTGCTTAAACTTGCCCTGTTTTAGATAGCAGGATGCCTGGGAGAGGAGGTAAGGGAGGGGGAAGAGAGAAAGAAAAAAATTGCAACAACAAAAATGAATATCTTGCAAAGATAAAACATGTTTCTCTAAAGCATGTACTGCTTGAACAAGCCAACATCTTGGCACACCAGATAAAGCAAAGCTTACATTTCTTATGTTTACTTCATATTTACAAACTTACCAGGTTATTTTTTGTTTTTGCTACATTTGGATCATCGGGCCCCAGTTTAGTTTGGTAAATCTCAAGTGCCCGTTGGTAGTAGTATTCCACCTCTTCATATTTACCCTGGTTCTGGCACAGTAAGGCCAGGTTATTCAACTGTTTGGCAACATCTGGGTGATCCTTCCCCAGGACCTACAAATGAAGGTCAAAAGTCACCTTCTCCATTCATCTCACAAGTCGGAAGAAAAGTAAAGTCAAATATGATCTTTCACAGCTCTCTGTTTAATTCCAATATCAATCTATCCAAATTCAGGCCATGTTATTTTGCAACTCTCACGTTTTTATAATTAGGATTCAATCCCTATTTTACTAGAAGTTCCATATTTATGGTTGAAAGTACAGGATCCCATTTATATTAACTAAATACTAAACCTGCTCTGGGCTGATATTACAAGTGGGGTCTGCATTTAGGAATCTGATGCTATGGACACATGAACAGAGAAGTGAAGTTTGGGTCACAAGCCAGAAGCAAACTGCTCTGTAGTGGTTGTGCACAAGCAGGCCAACTATAAAACTGAAAGCCTGAGAAAAGATCAGGCTGTACAGGGAAAGGCAGGCATTTGAAAGCATGAAAAACACAGACCCAGTTCATCCAGGGGTAGTCTGCCACCATTCAGTCACAGCCTTGTTGCTTTTAGTGTTTATATCACGGGGATGGACAAAATATGATCCCATGGGCTGGATCTGGACAAGGGATTTTGTCTGGACTGCAGCATGTCCCTTGGCCTCACCTGGCCCAGGTACAGGGTGGGCAAGAGGGAGGGGAGTGGTGGCACTGCATGCAGCTGGTCCTACAGCCCAGAGGAGCGCAGCAGGGCTGGGGTGGTGCAGCAGCCAGATTCACTTCCCAGGAGCCCCCACAGTGGTGGCTCCATCCAGCTGCCACTGCCAAACCCAAACCCACTGCCTAGGCTCCCCAGCTCATCCATCCCACACTTATTGCCATAGGCAGGACCTGCACAGGCAGAGTGCGTAGCTGGGTGGATGGGATGGGGCTACAGGCAGGCAGTTAGCAGCATCCAGGAGCAGGATGGGCAGACAAGGCTGGGATCGCAGAGTGGTGAGTGTAGGACCAGGGCCTGGGGCAGAGCCATGATCTGTTACCCACATATCCCTGCAACGGGTGCCAGTTCCATGGGCAGGGTGGCCAGGGAGCAGATGACAGCTCTGCCCTGGCCCTGTGCTGTCACCGCCCCAAGATCCCAGACGTGGCCCTGCCCACCCACTGCACTCGTGGACGCAGCTCCTCACCTTCAGTCCCATCCCGTCCACCTGGCTGCATGCCCTGCCCACATGGGTCCCAGCCAGTCTCCATAGACCCCAGGATTGCAGAGCAGTGATAGCTCAGGGCTGCAGCAGAACCATGATCTACTCCCCACAAGCCCCAGGCCACAGAACTGGCACCTGTCACAGGGGTGTAATGGATTGTGGCTCTGCCCAGCCCCACACTGTCATGACCCCATGTTCCCAGCCCCAGTTGCTCATCTCATTCCTGGATGCCACTCCCCACCTGCCCTGGGCCCCATCCCACCTGCCCAGCTGAGTGTGGAGCAGAGGCACTTAGGGACTTTCGGTGACCTGTTGCGGGGAGGGTACTGACCCAGCCCATTACAGCTTACCAAAACTCCCTAAGTGGCCCTTAGGCCCAAATAACTGCCCACCCCTGTTATATCATATTCACAGCTTTTTAAAATTAAGACAGCTTAACTTGCCCCAATTTCAGTTCTTTATGTGCCCATGGCCTATTCTTCAACTACTTCCATAGAAAATCAAGCACTATAGACATTTTCTCTTTATACCGAGTTGTTTTCTACACCCTTAATGATGTTTTGTTAAGGACATTTTCCAGCCCTGTTTCCAAAAAAATCCTACACTTGAAAAATGTTGCAAGTTTTAGAATATTTTTCAGACCCTGAAAGCAAACTATTCAGTTAGCAGCAGTTTTCTGGATGCCATCAAATAATGCAAACTGGGGGGAAAAAAAGCCAAGTACTATCATTTTATCAGTAACTATGTTTTTGTTGATTTGTCATCTTGTGAGGTAAAGGCACTATTGTAGATTTTTTTTTTTTTAACTAATCACATCCAATTACTCTCAGTTCCTATGCTACTCCCTATGACCAAGACTCCATGTACTTTGCACAATTCATGGTTTGACTATGGAAATCAAACTGATCTTACACTTTCTAGCTACATGGGTTACAAAGAACAGAGACTTGAAACGAACACAAACCAATGTAGCAACTTCTTGCTGACTCTCTCTGCTTTGTGCTTTTCCTCCCCATGAAAAACATCTTCCCCAATTACTCTGTTGTCAGTAGAGCATTATCAGTGGTAACAAGCAGTGAGTGCTGGGGATAAAGGCTAGAAGAGATGGCAGTAGAAATGCTGACAAGCCTTTTAAATCAGTATTCCCACCACTGCAAGCAGAAGTGAAATACTGGCATAAAAACTTCAGGACAGACCCAGTCTCCGTTCATGCATAAAGCATGAGGGACAGGCCCTCAAAAAAAATGAGACTTTCCCCATTCATATGAGCGTAAATGCTTAAATTATGACTATTTAAATCTTAACATTGTTGCTGCACCAGAGCTGATCATTTTAGTACCCATCTAAAATGTTATTTACCTGAAGAATGAAATGGCCTCTATTTGTTGAAGGGTCAAAAGCCCAGATTTGCTTCTTATCCCATTACCACAACCTTGAGCTTCCTTGACACCTTTTTATAAATACTGTTATGCATGTGCAGCTCAATAACTTATTCTACCTTAAAGCTTAAGATTTACAATCTAAACAAATAAATGTGTCAGATAAAACAAGTGTAGTATAAGGGGAGTATTATTCAGTCAATTCAATAAAAATGTTCCAGCAGATAGAAAGTTATACAGATTATAAAATCCATGAAAAATTAAGAATTACAATGTTTGGTTACTGAATCAAATTCAGTTACTGGATAAATTAATCCAAGATCAGCAATTATTTTTCATAAAGATATAACATGTATAAATAGCATAAAATAAAGTATGTCATGTCAATTTCTTTCTAATTCCTAAATTTTAAGGCATTCCATAAAGGTGTGAAAAATATATATGAATTAAATTTGATTCAAATTGATGGAGCAAGAAAATGTAAATCATAGTAAGCAGAGCAATTTTCAAGTAACTAATTTATTTTTAAAGTATACTGTATACTAAGGAAGCTTAAAAAGGTACTGCATGCAGATATCCATACTAATGGACTGGAATAAATATTTTAACACTGCTGCAGAACAGCAACTAAACTTAAGTAGCATACTTTTTTATTCAAATGATGTAGTCATCTCAGTACAAGAGAATCCAAAAGCCCTTCACCTATAGATTCCTTTTTACCCGACAGTTATTTGGCAATTTTAAAATACACCCAAATCTCTTTAAAACCTCTTAAAATTTAAAATTAAATTGTTTTAAGAAGTTGCCTTATTCTTCCCAAGATATACATTAACGAACAAAAATACCAGACCGAAATAATCAAGAAAATTAGGGCTGGATGGTAGCATAGCAATTCAAATAGTCCAGTGATGCTCAAACATTTGGCCCATGTGCCAGATGAGTAGGACAGGGCCCATCTGCAGGCCAAATTGGGCCCTGGGGCCAGGCACCACCACCTCCCTCCCCCACGCACCTGGATTGGACCCTGGGAAGCCCATCACCACTCGCTCCCACCCTCTATATGTGAGGACTGGGTCCCAGGGGTGCAGCACCACATCTTGCCCCCAATCACACAGCAGCACTGGGTTCCAGGGGCCTGGCACCACCCCTGCTGTGCTGAGATTGGGCCCTGGGGCCCCAACACATCCCAATATGCAGGGTCAGATAGGGGCAAAGGCACCATATCCAGCACATACTGCCCGAGTCCAGAGCTTTGGCAGCAAGGGAGCAGTGCCACCACTCCCCTGCTGCCAAATTTACAGACCCTTGGGGAGCCCTGTATGCTGCATGATGTGGCACCACAAGCCAAATCTGGCCTGCAGACTGGAGGTTGAGCACCCCTGAGCTACTCTATTCAGGACAGGAACATCCCTGTTCTAAAGTGTTTGATCATAACCTTCTCTTAAAAACTTCCAAAAGATGGCGGTTTCTTCACCTCTCAAAGTCATCTGTTCCAAAATGTAACCACCCTGGTATGTGAAGGGTGGTTTCTCATTCTGTACCTTTTCTCTGATCTCCAAAGCTCTCTTACATAAAGGTTCAGCTTCTTTGTACTTTCCCCGTTTACCATAAAGCACTGCAAGATTGTTTAGAGTAGCTGCCACCTGTGAATAGTGGAAAAATATTTAGTATGCTGGAACACACTGATGTGAATACCTGGTGAAAAATAAAAAAAAGTCCAAAGTATTTTAACAGTGTATTGACATTTTCATATCTTCCATGTACAGTGAAGGTCTCTTGAAAAATTTATTGAAAGAAATAAAAATTCTTTAACAAAAACACATCAGCAAACTATGAAATATATTTACCCAGTCTGCAGAAAGGTAACTGAATGCATATATTTATTCCTGTCACCTCTACAGCGATTATTTTACATTAACCATATCCAGAGTTGCTCCACTGTAACATAGCCTATATGAAGCAATACATTACCAAATTAAAGTGACTTAAATATGAAAATTTGATTTGAATTATGCTTTTTTGAACAGAAACAGTAAAGCAAAATCAGAAGTACAGCTTCAACATGAAATCAGCAATTGATTTTTTCCAGAGTAAGCAATTTAAAATATTCCTTCAGAAGCTATATTTTTCACAGAAAGATCATGCAATCCGATTCAGAATCAAATAAACGTGACAGCAGAGTAACCTGTGTCTGAAATAGCTTTACATGGATAAATGCTTGAAGGCATACATTAAGTATTAAAAGAATGCAGAACATTATAGTGGGGCCTCCTACCTGTACTGTTTAGTGATAAGCCAGGTCTTAAATTTTTTTCCTGTTGAGTTTAATATTAGAATAAGTTTAAAGAAAATTAGTAAAACACACACAGACAAACTAAAATCGTAACATTGCCATATACAAACCGCTGGATGATCTTTGCCCAAAGTCTTCTCACGAATTGCTAAGGCATCATTCAGAAGATTTGCTGCATCTTTGTATTTGTTCTGGTCCCTAGATTTAAAAAAAAACAAAAACAAAAAAACCCACATATAAATTAACATTTTCCTACGTTACATACAAATGCATTTAAATAATGATTAATCTCCTATGGTGAACAGTGGCAAAAATAATAGCTAGCTCCAGTGTACCAGCCAAAATGCTTGAGCACAAAAGACCCAACCTGAAAAGAAGACTCAACCTTTCACTTCATGAGTTAAAAAAAGTTATAATTAATTTCAGGTAGTTTGCTATGGGAATAAAAAGGAACTATCTGCATCCTGCCTCCCAATATGAAATGGCTCACTAGTGTTACCAAAGAGGTGGTCACTTGGCTACTTGCTCAAGAGTTGAGGATGGAAGAATAATCAGGTTTTAAAAGAAAGAGGGCTCAAACTGAGACGTGGAAGTATATTCGGGAACTTATCAAAAGCCTAATGTAAAGAACTCCCATGGGTCATAGATGCACAGGGTACTCCAACAAATTCAAATATATCTTATATTATAGAACAGAGTCACATTAAGGGTCTCTAGCTAACTTTCCCAAAAATAATTTTTTAGTTAATGGGCAACTTGGATGCATATGAGAATACCAACCTGTATACCAAAGCAAGTATGTTTAGCATTGTAGCAACATCAGGATGATCATGACCCGAAGTCTTCTCCAAATCTTCAAGTGCTTGTTTACAGAGTGGTACAGCAACCTCATATCTGCCTTGGGAAGCATACTGGATAACGAGATTATGAAGGGTCCTTAACCTTGCTGGAATTTCATAACCACCTTGCTGGGCAGCTGCTGCTGCACTGCTATGCTGCTGTTGGACTGCAGAAAGAAAGCCAATACATTTTGAATTTATTCTGAAAGAAAGCTAGAATTTGAGATTCTAACATGCCATTAACAAAGAGAGAGAAAGTTTTAATATCAGATACACAACGCTCAGATTAATTTAATTGTTTCAGAGAAGAGTCTGAGTTGAAAAGTGACAGTAACAAATGATCCTGCTTTACTAGATAGATGTTCTCCTGGTGAAAGTAAGTCTTCATAGCCAGCAGCAACCCCTCGATTTTGTTCACCATCCCTCTAAGATATCCTCCTCCTTTCCCCCTGCTTCTTTTCCCAACTGTTGCATTTCCAGCCCAGAACCAGGAAAGTTGTCCCTTTTTCTCTACACAAACTCTGGGAGGACAATGAAAACCAGCTCCAGTTCAACACGAAACTGGATTTCAGACACAGAACACAAAGGATAATGACTAGCACTGCCAGCCTGGCTTTCTGTTCTCCTCTGTCCCTACTAAACCAGGAATACTTTCAGTCATGGCAACTGCCTAGTCCCAGTACAATCACATAACTACAAACTACACGCTGCACTTATGTCTGACAACTGCTATCCAATTTTGCAATAGGGGGGCATATAGATTTGACTAATTATGTAGGCATGAAATCAGGCATCAGTAGCAGCATCGCATGAAGACAGCAGGTTCTGGGCATTTTGTCTAGTGGTCAGGAGAACCCGCTGCAGAGTACCTTTTTCTGACAGACTAAACAAAAAGTGGACAGAGCTATTCAGATGTCACTTGGACAGATGCCCAAGACGCCTCTGGGGTTGACTAAAGTAAGTCTTGAATTTAGGTCCCAAATGTGTCCAGAGTATTAAAACAGCCTCATTTTGTGTTAAAATATATTCCTAACGAATGGCTGGGAGGGGTAGTGCGAGGCTATCAAAGTTTCTCTAAAATTACAATCAAGCCAGCTCTAGGCCCCCCAACATAGTGAGAGCAGCAGAGATTGGTCTTCTTGTCTTGCCCCCTGAAAGGGAAAAATCCCATCAGTCTAGGCTGGCATAAAAAGCTAAAAAGCATATTAGGAAGGAGTTTTATCATAGTTTACTGCATAAAATAAATTTAGAAAAAACTACAGTTGTCCTTTTGCTGCACAACAGTGGCCCAGAGCTCTTAAAATTTCCAGTCAGCTCTCCAAAGAAAAGCAAATCTTGTTTTGTAGAAGAGTTTCATATAATCTAAAGCTCACTTACTTCCTTGCCCTTGATCATCTTCGTCATTGGGGAAAAGGTCATCCAGGGGTTCTTTGGTGGAATCCGTGTCTTTATCTTCCTATACAACCCCCAAACCCCAAACAAAATGTTTTATCATTACATGTAAGATAATTACAACAACTGCATGTAGAAAAAAGTACGCTTGAAGAACACTTATCAAGCCAAATGCTCCAAGTTAGGAAAATGCTAGAAGTAAGATTATGCACAACAAAATTCAGCTCTTATGCATGTGCACTGCAACAGTCTTTTACACAGAAATGGATACCTAAACTCCTACATCCTAACAGAGTGGCTTGACCATATGAGAACATCCTTCCTCTTCTTCCAATTTCCATTTCATTACACTGTTCAATAGAATAAATATCTGATTTACATTAACAAAGGCCAGTGTAATACATATATAGGCAGAAAGCTGCTCAAACATCTTAGTTCTACCACTTCCCAACACTGATTTTGAAATTATGCTTTAAAAATTAAAGGAATGCTGTAATTTCCAAGATTTAAAAAGAACAAATTTAAAAAGAAAAACTCAAAACACACTCTTGTATGAGCTATATGCTCATTCTTACTTTAATTGTGGGATTTAAAAGAAGATGCTTTATGACTTTCCGAAGACATTTTTTAAACAAATTTAAAGCCAATGCACTGTTCAGCACAGTACTTTACTACAAACAGTTTTTGACCCCCCCTCAAGTCTATCATCTGCAGAAAATTGCACGTACTTTCTTAAAATAAATTCTAGGAAGTCATTTTCTAGTACATGAACTATGCAAAATAAGAAAAGGTAAACAGAGAGAAATTAGTTTCTAAATGTACCTGTAAACAAATAAAAGCTTAATTGCACCTTTTTGGCAAGTTAGAAGAAACTATCAAGAAAAAGTTTGATGTCAAATATAATATAAAATGCTTTTCAAATGTACAGCTACTTACTGATGGAGAAATATCATCATCATATTTTTTTAACTGATTCATGAATTCTAGATGTTTCTTCTCTTCTTCCAGCTGAGCCACAGACTGCTCACTCTTCTGTAATTTTTGTTGGGTATTGGCTAGTTCATCCCGCAGCCACTGATTTTCCTGGCATAACCGGCGAACTTGAGCTCGCAATTTCTGCTTCTCCGATTCCACTGCATTTAAGTGATTTGACAAGGCCATCATCACCTAAAAAGCACATAAGATTACGAGGCATTCTTCCTGTATAACGTATTTCACTGTTAACATTTAAGACTTTTCATATGCAAGTGCCGGTGTACTTCTGAAATCTAGTAAGTGTTTTTCCGCTTTCGTAATTTCTATTTGGTTCTCAATCTCTTCCCATTTCTGCCATCTTTAACATTTACTCACTAGGAATTAATCAGGAGGAGTTCTTACCAATATTATATAATTGCTTTTGCTGACTTAACATATATTTATTTAGCAGTATTTACTACAATGAATTGTTGTTCATAGTAAAAGTTCCTCAATGCCCATAATAGGTTACATATATTCCTAACTCATGCAAAAGCTTACATTAATACAACACCGAGTTGCAAAGTGGAATACAAAATGAACAAATTAAAATCGTAACCGAAGTTGGAAAAATCTTATGAAGACATGCTTCCATTAAAATACGCATGTTAAATTCCAAACCCTTGTGAGTGTAAGGACAATCTTTCAATCACAAACCAAAGAGGAGCTCTAGATCACCGTAGTTCAGGGATGGGCAATTATTTTGACTGAGGGCCACTTGGTTCTGATGCGCTGTTGAGGGCAGCACATATACAATCTTTCAGAAGACATCATTTTTAAAAATTATAGATGAAAAACAATTCATATACTAAATATCAAACCGACTATAAAATATTTTATTTAAAAGTGATTTTTGTTCTGATTTATGTTTTTTTAATAGTGTATATAGAGGTAATTGCATAATAGCTCAACATAAAGTCTTATTCTTGTATATACCTTATACCTTGTGTGGAGGGGGTGGGGGTGTGGAGGGTTGGGGGAGATGTGTGTGCAGGTGTGTGCATGTGTGGGGGGGTAAAAAAAATTTAGAAAGTTAATATTTATCTGTCCCTGGCTGCCTGTCAAAGATGACAGGAGCCAGGGGCAGTAAGACCCAGGGAAAGCCATCAGCAGGATCAAGCGGTTGCAGAAGCAAGGCCTGGCAGCCCGCCTACCACCAGCCAGAAACCCCATGCCAAGCAGAGGCTTCTGACCTGGGCCCCTGGGGCTTTTACTGCCTCCCTGCGCTGGACAGAAGTTTAGATAAGAAGGGGGCTGGCAGGTGGGAGGTAGGGGAGGACTATCGGCAATCGCCCCAGAGCTCAGGATCAGGCCAAGCTGGATGCTGCGGTCCCAGTGCTGTAGCCAGGAGCCACGTGGTGCCAGAGTGGTCAGTGTAGGGTGGAAAGGAACAGTGGCATCTGCAGGCAGGAGAGTGCTGAAAGCGGCAGCAGGCAGTGGGGAGGAAGGGGCAGCAAGTGGGCACGCGGAGCACAGCTAGTGCCGGTGCACTGAGGCCAGGGCTAGCAGAGGCCCAGAGCGGGGTGGCAGTAGTGGAGGGTCCAGGCCAGCAGGGGCTCTAGAGCCAGGCCAGCTCCCTCCTCTCCCAGCTAGTGCAGCCTGGCCCAGCTCCCCAGAGACC